TAGAAAAAGGGAAGGTGCCGACAATCACGGCATTGCGTTGAAGTGATACTGTAGGTCAGCATAACTAGAAGCTTAGGCAGCGTTCAGAGTTGGCGATCAGGCGATGATTTGAAAGAAAGTGTATGAATCGATTAGGCGATTAGATGAGTGGGCGATTAGGCGAATAGGAGAGTAGGCGATAAGAGAAAGATACGTATTGATTTGTTGCTCCACCCACTGAGCGGCCGCCCACTCGCCTAATCGATACCTATACCTTTCCTTGTTGACTAATCGCCTAACCACCTAATCGCATGTACGATCGCCAACTCTGAACGCTGCTTAGTTGAACACCCAAACTGATAAGAAAGGAATATTCCTCTGTCACAGGGCGCTCTACTCGGCTATGTTGACAACAAAACTGAAATAGCCTTATTCTCTTGTGATGGAAAAGTATATGAGAAAAAAGGAGGCGAACTTTCCAACATGTACATTATTATGAGGAACCTTGTTGGTGGCCCACCACACTGTGAATGTTCTACATGCAGAGTTGCGCCACCTCCTCCAGGACCGCCACCGCCAAGGTATTTTCACATTACGTAAACTGGGCGGCAGCGATTTTCTGAATGCCATTTACAGAGTGATGATCGATGAATGGATGGATATTCGTGCGGGTGATCCGTGGCCCGACAGACTTCTTGTGAAAGCCCTCGACAAGACCCTGGACACAATCCCTGGAGAAAATCCCGATCAGTATGTTGCTCTGTGGTACCAGGCCGGAGAACCTGTCATGGGACGTATTTGGAATGAAAACGGCAAGGTGATATTCCACATCCTATCGTTAGAAGACTGCGTAGAACAGCAATTCATGGTACACACGTCTGCAGGTAGCTGCCAACTTCTGCTGGAACAAGAACGAGTACAAAGGCAACGTCGGTTCGATTCAGGTGCTTGTGCACCTTTCCGAACACGTCAGAGGTTTCGACTACCAATGGTTACCATACCCACAGGTGGGTGACCGTAGGGTAGGTATAATGGTAATGATGAGGACTAATGAGTGTTTTGCAGGCGGCATCGTTCGATAAGGACAAGGAATGGATTCCCAGTACACGTGAACAACACCAAGGGAGATATTTCCTCTGGTGTAATCACGTTCGATGGAAAACAGATTCTTGGAAAGGTCGACGTCAGGAATGAAAAATCCTCGGCCGGATTTGGTGGCAAAGAAAACATGCTTGTCGGACCGGCGTGCGCCAACAACACCATAGTACTGTGCCGTAAAGCAAGGCCTGGATACAAGTTCGATTAGGACCACAAATTATTTATGTTGCATTATGAATCGAGAAGAATCATTGTGCAAACATAAAATTTTTGTAAATCGTGAAGAAAACATCGTTTCCTCTCGTGTTGTTGTAAAACAGCTGGAGTGGTGAACTCAAACTTCGAGAAATAACAGACAGCCAAAGACCTATACTCGATATCGGTGAGTTAGGGTGGGCGTGTCACCAGTAAGTGACGTGCACTTGATTTCCGAACAATACCATTGCTACTTGTCAGCATAAACTGCTGCAACACTATTCCACGCACTTCTAGCAAGTCACGTCACTCCGGTTTGTGCTTGAACTCCACCCAACACTCCCCAATATTGACTTAAAATATTTTAGAACAGTAATGGTTAATACGTGTGATTAAGAAACACCAACACCAAAAAAAGGCGATTCGTCAGGAATCGTCACTTGTAGTTCCGATCCAGCACCTAATCACACCCCCATGCAAATATGCCCCAATATCTGCCGATGGATGTCCGCAACGGGCAGTCTCGATGATGTGCCGCGGGCAGCTCTATGAAGCATCTATGGGCCTCTGCTATTCATTACGTTCCAATACATGGCGGTTCTCGATAACGCCAACGACGCTAATATTCCAACACCGTCTCCTCTGGGCAGATAGCGAGGAGCTATTTCAGACTCGGATACGGCGTCCCACCTCAGTTGTAGGTGGCTGATTTGACAGAAGGTTTTATACGGTGTACAAGCCACCGGCTCTGAAGGCAAACCCACGATGAATTGAGGCGGATCGAATTCTTTGCAGGATAGGATAAAGCTACCAAGGTGCTATAAGTGCTCGTGACTCACCTCGAATAGAAGGTGAACGTGACTTCTAGAAGAATTCAAAGGGAAGCTTAGCCTGAAAAGGCTCCTGGGTGCATAGAAGCGTTGCGCGACGCACGCCCCCACTGGCCGCCTCGCAGCGCAATATTCGCAATCTTGCCCCGTAGAAAATATCTCTGGGCGGTATCAAACCACCCTGTATTTGAGTTGGTAATGTATTCCAACCACGGCATTCATCAAAATAAAACGTACAAGCAAACCAAGTACCGCGACAGTAAGCAACGGCCTGCCTTAATTATAACACGAGTAACAAACTCTGTTTTCCTCTCGCGGTGTGCCACGCCTTTCGCTTACATACAGAATTGCAGCAGCATTTGGATACGATTCGCTCTACACAATGAACAGCCGATGTAGAAGTCAGTGTTTTTATCCTCCCAGACAAGTCTGGTACCAATTAACCGATTCCGGAGGGATGGAAGACTTGGTTGGCCCGGGCGACTCATGACCCAGGATTTCGATCCGCCGGACCGCTGCGCGTGGTAAGCGGCGCCACTTACTGCCACACCATTTCTGTGCATTTTCAAAATCTGTGGAGCATTCGTAAACTTTTCCTAACGTCCTCAGTTGAACACATAGCAAGTGACAGCCCAAAGATACCCTTATAAGGCCTAAAATAAAAGAAGGATCGACTTCGAGCCCCATAAATCTTTGTGTTGGTGAACTGTCCGCCAAGTCGAGAGGAGGCATAAATGACATGATGTAGCGCGTGAGCTTGCCCTCGTAGGCGCATCAAGAACGGTCTTTGAGTCATGCTGAGTTTTGTGAACCCGAGAGGATTATTACGATTCTTCGAGTGTGATGGAGTAAGGGGGGTACACTACAAT